AAAAAAAAAAAAAACAGAGGCTTCTTTATAGTGTACAGGCAATTCTTATATGGGTTTTGATTGCTTCATTGATCTTGTCTCCCCATTAATAATGACTCCTAGTCACTCTCACCCTCTGTTAGTACTCCAAATAAAAGCACCCCAAGCACATGCCTGTAACAGAATACTTTTATCTCTACTTCCTCTCTTGAGACTGCTAGTCTTCCAGAGTCCACAAGCGCTCCTTCACTTTCTCACCGCACGGCACTCACTGGTCCTCACTCGCTGCTGATGCTCCTCAGTGCTGTTCCTCACTTTTCTCTACTCAGAAGTTAGCTTGTTACACAGGACTTCTTTTCCTACAGCTTCTATGCATTCCTTCATAACAGTTGATGCCTCATTTTTTCATAGCAGCTACTGTTGCTATCATATTATGTATTCACTGGGGAATGAGTATACTGTCTGTATCCTGATAGATCCAAAAATCCAGTATTAATCAAAGCAAGGGCACATCTGTTTTGTTCAGAGTTAAATCTTTAAGACCATCAAGATTCAACACATCAATGTATCTATCCATGGATGTGGATGTGCACATATGTTTTTTATGACACCCATATGAATTATACTTAAATAGTTTAAGGCACTTAGCATTTATTATTAATTTTAGCACACTGCATATTCCTTTTAACATTTTCAGTATATGTACAGTAAGTAATTAACATATGCAGAAGAAGACCTACAATAGATTCTTTATGAAAACCCTTTCCAATGATTTCAAGCAGTTTTTGTAAGTCAGTAACAAATGCACAGGTAACAAATTTAAGCATATAGCAAAATTCTAATAAAATTAAAACATTTGTATGCATAATATTTTCCATGCATGTGTTGTTTATTTGTCCTTTTTAGGTATTGGAGATATAGTGAAGAAATGAAAACCATGGACCCCGGCTACCCCAAGCCCATCACTGTCTGGAAAGGGATCCCTGAATCACCTCAGGGAGCCTTTGTACACAAGGAAAATGGTATGTAGCACATGCACTATACATAGCATAAGTTTCCTATTTTAATTACACATAGTATTTTGTTAAATTAATTAGAAAATATCACATTAGAACTATGTATTATGTGCATGCATATTGTATATTTATCATTGGCCCTTTCCTATTAGGGATTTACATTGAGTGTTATGCTCCAGACAGT